AGAAGGTCCAAAACACCCTCAGAATATTTAAATAGAAGGCGCCAGAAAGAATTATTCATATAAAGGCTACAATTCTAATCTTTCTAGTGAAGTCTGCTAAAACTCTTCCCAATCCCTAGAATTGTTTATTCTCAAAAATCTCCATTTTAAAATCGCTTTCAAATGTTCAACTGTTTTTGAAAATCTATAATCCCTTAGTGTCGCGTGATGAGGGACTGGTGCAACCCCCTCATTACAAGAATCAGTCACAGATGACAACTATATTCCACTAAGTGTTGTTAAATTTAATCTTTGTTGCAAATAATTATTACGGCACAGCAGCCACTCGCTATTAATGTGGCAAAACGATGACAACGTTTTCCACATTTTCCGTCTACTTCTTCTTCTTCTGCTTTGCCATACGAATAGTAACAGATAAAAATCAGTTGGATGCCCACTCTAGAGTGTCACATCTAACAGAGAAGGGCATTAGACCGAAAAAGAAGCACCCCATTATTCCATAGATGGGTATTAAAGCTTGCATAATTGCAACAGAAAAATCTACATTTTATTTCCCACCCATATTTCCCGCACTCTTCCAACACTTGGCACACTCGAGCCGGCCTGCATGTGACTATGTGTGTCAGTGTGGTCGCGCATAGCCATTTGGGTGAAATTTTTTTACATATATGGATGGCATTAAGAATGCATCCGACCCATCCATCAAGGGCCATTTGTTGTGGTCTGTCATCTATCAATTGGTTGTGGTAGATGTGATGAAGGAGGAAGGGGAGGGGGTCACTGATTTAAATGCTGGCAAATGCATTTTGTTCACCACAAAATTATGGTGGTTGCATGGCATGTATGCATGTCTTTTTTTCTGTTCACACGCTCCTCATTTGCTTGCCGCCTAGCTGGTGCTGCTGCCATTATAAAAAATTACTATTTAAAATTTCGTGTTATTTATAGCCTGACCATAAAGACCATGAAGTTGAACTTTTACATAATTGTGTCGAGTTCAAGAATAGATTCCAATAAAAAATTCGTAATCGAGAAATGTTTAATGAATTGGAATTAAGTAACTGTGTCCTTGTGTGCCCGATTTAAAATATTGCCCAAGCTAATTTTAGGTGAATTGACGTAAATGGTTATTGAGATAGGCGAGGGAAAGAAGGAGGGGAAAATAGCAACTTATAGTGATTTTATTAGGTTAATGGGGATATTAGGTTGTATGTGTTTATAGAGTCTTCTGTGTATAATTGATCTCTAAAGGGACTTCGATACATATGGATCCTTAAAAGGGAAGTATTTGTATAAATGAACTCTAAGGAGACTTCGATGTAAGAAGACTAAAGCGCCTTCAAAATTTATTTTAAAATTCCGCGCTAAAAGATGCCTTTTTAATTTTTTTCTAGATTTAGGAAAAAGTCTTCTGGAAGATCAATATTCAGGCATGAGAGCTTAAAAATAACTTTCGTATATTTTTAAGCTCTCATGCCTCAATAATGATCTTCCAAAAGACTCTAATAGCCCTATTTATAGATTTTATCAGAAATGTATTCAATTTCTAGAAGATCTCGATGATTCTTCTATCAATAGAAGTCCCAAAAGACCATCGGAATATAATTTCTTTTGACAAAATGTCTCAGAATCCTTCCAATAATCCTTCTATCTCTGGACGACCCTCAGAGTGGCATTATTTTTTTAAAATATGACCTAATAAAGTATTCCAAGTACAAAAGACCCCTCAAATTTATACAATGAGATTTACATCTAATAACCCAAAGAGACTCGGAATGGTATTCCTAATTATATAAGCCCTCAGAAAGTATTCTGGGTGCAGAGTCTTAAACTGTTCCTAATAGATGGGATCATCAATATATTCCAAGAAAATACTTCCATCTACAGAAAACCCCTAAAAAGTGTTCCATCATTCGAAGTTGCTACCAAAAGATGTGGAACAAGATGAAGGCATCTTCGAAGTTGTTCTAAGAAAATACTTCCACCTACAGAAAACCACAAAAGCGTATTCCTTCATTTAAAGTCCCTTTAAAATTGGTTCATAGGTACCCCATGAAATCTATAAGTAAATATTTTCGTAGGAAAGATAAAGTAAAGTAGTAGTGAACCAATAGCCATCATCCTCGAACTTGATGTATGATTGTCTGAAACTTGTATCTCATTAGCTCTTAGTTTGAGGGTATAAATATTTTATATCTGCCGAAATTCAATGACTCTAACTACACCTGCAGAATAGATTTTCGGTTGTCCCAATTTCCTCAGCGATTTCCTTAGCAGCAGTCAGACACCAATGTATGTCAGATTGTCATTTCTTAATCGACTCCAAATTTTATGAAATTAGGTTTATCCAAAGACCTACTAGCACGACACCTGCATAGAAGATTTTCGATTTTCTCAATTTCGTCAGCCTCATCGAGAATATTAAAAACCAGCAATGATGCATTTGGGATTTTGCAACAGGGATTTTGCACGAGAGCAATGAAAAATATGGGGTTAGATTACTTTGCATAGTTTCCTTCAAGGTTCCGCCCTATCAGAATATTTACATCGTCAATGTATGGATGATAGCTTTAGTGATACACCACAAGACAACAAACTTAGAATCGGCTTTATAACAGCCTGAGAAGTGTTTATGTATTGTGATTTCCCATACCCAGAATCGTATAGGACCATAGCGTGCCCAAAATTATTCCATAAAAATGATAAGAGGATTAGAATCTTATTTGTCGATGCCTCAGCACACGGTTTAATTGGGAAAAATAGGCTCTACTTTCAATCGCATAACATTAAAATGTGATTTTAGGATACCGGATCCAATGTGTTTCAGTGGTACACTTTCATAAATAGATTTCTAAAGCATGTCCCCTATTTCGCCACTCCTCGAAATAATTTAGTCAGAAGCTCTACCTTTCTCTATATTTTCTATTCCTTCAGTCAATTTCAAAATTTTAATTTTCTCATGCACCTCACTGTAATCTTAATTGCACGCTTTTGAAATGCATATAACCCGTATTAAAAACCTAATTTGTATAGATGTTTCTGCCACTCCCTATGCAAATTGTTCCCCCAATAGAAATTAATTTTTAGTCAAGATTTTATTTTTATGGTACTCTATTTTCTGATTATTATAATTACTATTTCAAAACTATTTATTATATTTCTTAATACAATTTAAACATTTTCCCAGAAACTAACCTAAATAAAATTTTGTCTTTTTTCCTTCAGATCGTCTTTGTGATAATCGTAATGATAGTTCCGGCAATGAAGGCAATGCCGTCTTTACCGATGGTCAAACTTCAGATCCACAAAATAGTCCACCACGTGGCGATCGAGACTTTATGCGTATGCAACATCAGCAACAGCAGGCTCTTACGCCCGTGAATACCAGTGCCAATCTATTGGCTTCAATGGGACAAAATGCCAATAATGCCACCAATATGAATAACTCCACCACCAACAACACATCAACAACCACACCCTCATCAAATGAGAAACGTTCACGTCTCTTTCGGTCGTCTAGTTCGACACCGGGTGGCGGTAAGAAGAAACAGACACTTAGCCTAAGTGCTGAACCACGCTCAGTATTAGAGACATGTTTGTCGCCCACCAATGTGGAACCACGTAAAATGCTGCTGGATCAGTTGAGTCGCATCTTTGCCAGTGAAGATTCGGTTATACCCGATGAGGTGACAATAATAAGTCCACCGGAAGCTTTAAGCTGTAGTAGTTTAGTGCCGAAATTAACCACAATGTTTGCGAATTCCTTTAAACCGGCCTTTGTACCACAGAATACGGCAGAGGTAAAGGCTGTGTTGCAGGCCCTAATGGGTAAAATACAGAAATAGTAAGTCCCCAAATGCACCTACAAATCCAAACAACATTTCCAAATGTTTTCCCTCTCTCTCTTTTTTTTTAGCTGCAATTCGAATGCCAAACCACCCACCACAGTGAAAATCCTATTAATTGGCGGCGATTGGTTACAGGGTGCCGTGCTGCGACATTATGTCGATCTAATGGGTGTACGACCACCAGATTGGTTAAATCATTTGCGATTTTATATTGTACCCATTGGTAGCAGTACCATCGCGAGACATCTCAGTCAATTGGATCAGACCTATGCAGCGATGTTTGGCTCGGACAACTGGTATCAGCTGTGTGAGCGGGTGGCCCAAACAGCAGCCGCTGTCAGTGCTGTGACCACCGTGAATGCCACCTCATTGGCCGAGACTGGTGCAGCCTCTAAATCGGATATTGTAGAGTTAGTGAATCGTATACAACGATATTTGCATGCGGCTGGACCCTGCACACAAATACCCATAGCCGAGGCTATGGTCAATTATAAGGATGAGGATTCATGTCAAATATTTGTGCCATTTGTTAGTGTAAGTTAGGAAACAAATTTCTTTTCCGAATTTCAAAAATAATCCTTTCTGTTTCCACATTTAGGATGTCCGTATTGGTTGTTTAGAAGGCCCTCAGGCTTCCCTTGATCTCGAAGAAAACTATGCTCAACAGGCGACAGCAACTGCATCGCAACAACTACAACAACAGCAGCAGCAACAACCTCAATTGCAACAACAGCAACCATCATCAATTACCAATCCCATACCCATTGGCAATTCGAATCCACAAAATCCATTAAATAACCAAAATATATCATCAAGTCTGCAACAAGGTGGCGGTGTTTTATCGGGTTCACCACCACAAAGTGGTCGTATATCACCACCCCTACAAACACCACCCTCATCAGCATCCTCGCATCGTGAACGTCTCGGTGATAGTTTTAGTGCTACACCACAACATTTACAGGGTAATGAAGCTGTTGAGCTGCAAGTCGATTATTGGCCAATCGCCCGACCCATGGACTATTCAAGTTCGAAGGATAAGAGTGCCACCAAGGGCAGTGATCAGGGTGGCAAGAATAGCATTAAGAGTACGTTTAGAAGTTTACAGGTTTGGCGTTTGCCACAAAATGCCCAGCTGGGTGAAATATCGAATGGTTTGACTGTCTCGTTTGCTACCAAAGAAAAGAAACAAAAGCAAAGTAAGTTTGGGAATCTTAATGGCAAATTTTTGAATGAAATTTAAACGTGCGTTTCTTTGTTTACAGTTATGCGTTTGGGCAAGAAAAAAGAAAAAGATCGTGATCTCGAAAAGGAGCAATGTGTTGAAGGCGTTGCCCGTTTAATATGCTCACCAAAACAGTCACATCCAGTGCCATTGAGAGGTAAGTTTGACGAAGGGTCATTGTATATTTTTAAATTTAATAGGTATATAGGGTTCCAAGTAACTTTGGTGTCGCAAACCTCAAAAAACAAATTGATTAGATTTCAGTGGCTTGGCGAATGGGGAGGAGGACTAAAACTGATTATGGAGGTCTTCCTCTAAAACAAATCAAAACAAATTATGGAAAAACAAACACCTCATACAGATGTGAATGTATTGCCAACTGTAGTCCAGGGTTGAATTAAAGAAGAAAGAATAATTAGGACTTAACCTTCGCCACCTGTGACTCGAACTCGAACGAATAGAAAACCAAAAGTAAACCCGTCAGAGGAGTTCTTAGATCCATATCCTCACAATCAACATAACCCTATATAAATTATATGATGTGTGTATAAATGAAATGAGTATTATTCTGCCAAGGGATATCGTTTGGTTCAAAATAACTTCGCCTGTTTGTTCTGGTCTATAATATATGGAGACAGCTATCTGGAATATGAAAAAGTGTTGCTCATGCTTTTCCAAATATGTTATAATTTGTTTACTTGTTTGTCTCTCAGACAATTTTTGAATTTTTACCAATTTCTCAACTGAATAATCCAAGTAGACAAATTAAGTTCCAAACCTTTTAATTTATTTCCTTTGTGTATTTTATTATTGGTCCAACATGTACTTCGATTTTATTTATAATGACAGTAAGGTTTGCAAATTAGGCTTAGACCCTTCGACCAATTTCCCACCATATGTTTTAGGATCATATGAAATTTGTTGGTGTAGATTAGCGGAATATATGGGTGGGAAATAAAATCTACATGTTTATGTTGCAATTGTACAAGCTTTAATACCCTCTATGGAACCTAAATGAATTATGGGGTGTTTCTTTGACTTCGGTCTCATCCCTATCTCGATTTAATGTGCCACTCTAGAGTGGGCATCCAACTGATTTTGATATGATTTTTATTTGAATACCAAAGCAGAAGAAGATTTTAGAACTTCAAAATTGTTAAACATCAAGAAATTGCCTTAATCTGCCGATAACACTCAGGAGTCCCACCATCCAGTTCTCCAACAGTTGTAATCTTAAGAATTTCTAAAGGTAGAGTTTTGTCCAAGTTTAGGTATATACGATTCAATATTTTGAATGTTTTACGCACATGTTCAAACAATAAACACATCAGCTTTAATTTAGTTCTTAGTGAAAGGGTCCCTATAAAAATCTTCAGAATGTGTCCTATTTTAAGTGTAGTCCCTATTATCGGTATTTTGAATTTAGTTCTTAGTGAATGGGTCCCTATAAAAATCTTCGGAATAGGTCCTATTTTAAATGTAACCCCTATTATCGGTATTTTGAAGATTTGTATAAACGTTTTCCAACCGAATTACCAATACTTTTTATTTTAGATTTCGATTGGGTAGCTAACGTATCCAATATTGGAAAACCCTTACATGACTTGTTGCCATTTTAAAGGTAACTTCATAATGCCTCTCTCATAGAAGTCCTGCTCTCTATTTGCAAAAAAAAAAAAAAAAAAAAAAAAATATTAGTCGATTTTCACAATCATGGCTAGATATCAATTTTTATCATTAAAAAAATTTTGTGAAGCTGATTCAAATCGGATCATTTCTTCGAAAAAAAAAATATTAATATTATTATTCGCTCTATATTAGGCGTGTGTTTTTATCTAAGAGGTTTCGAATTTAATGTTCATCAAATTGGTGATTCAATTAGTTTCAAATTAAATTTAAAAGTTTATGAAATATTGACCCTTTGTGGGGGAGATACCAAAAGAGGAGGACCAATGGCTCCCAACTTCGTACTTGATCTAGGCTTGGTAAAGATAATAGTTTGTGTAAAGTTTGGTTTAAATCAGGCATACCATTCGACTTCCATTTGAAAATGTTGATAATTTGTGGGGGAGGCAAGGAAAGGAGTGCACCAATGGGTTCCATCATTGGCCTTGATCTAGGCTTGGTAAAGATATTAGGTTGTACAATGTTCTTTCGTATGATATTATAAAATTATTTTTTTTTTCAATTTTGACAATTTAGTGGGGGAAGTACCAGAAGGAGGGGACCGATATTCTTCATCTTCGAACTAAAACTAAGTTAGGAAGAAATATTACTATGTGTAAAGTTTGGATGAAATCGGTTACTCCATACGAGAGTTATCGTGCACACTAGACGGCCACACAGACAGGCGGACGTACATTTGTAAATCGACTCCGAATTGTCTGAAACGGATTTGGTCCAAAAAAGCAGGGCCTTAAACCAATATACCCTAATTAGTCATAAAAAGTATTAACGTGAAACGCACCATTAGGTATAGGCCTCATACATCTGTGTCATTTAATTTTCATTATTTAGAAAACGTGAACCACATTTTCCATCCGAATTGGCAGTATTTTGAATTTAGACTTTAATTTGGTATGTTAAGACTTTAAAAAATTGTTCATCAAAGCAATTGTATATCTGATACCCAGTATTTTACAAAATCTTCTTGGCAAAAAGTTTCGGTATAGATTCACTTTTTTTTATAACGATTGAAACGCTTCACACAGAGCTCTATAGTAGAGCAATGTAGTCCCTAAGATTTCCCCTTACCCTTATCGTCATATAAAGAGGAAATTAATGGTCTCTAGGGTTCGATGGAAACAGATGTACATGTTCATGTTTTCCTAAGTATCATAAATATATTCTGTGTGACTAGACCTTATATATACCCGACTTATTTTTAACCATGGCATGTTTAATTTTCTTTAGTGTACATCATATTTGAGAATATTACGTGAAAATATAGAAAGAAAGAAAGAAAGAAAGAGTATAAACTCCTATCAACTCCCCAAACAAAGCATTTACGATCCATTATTCTGCGAACTTTTAACTATTCACCTTTTCCATAGTTTCGTGGGTGTCAAATCCTACTAATGTCCTAGGGAATCTACATTTATACTTCTCTATGTTTTTATTTTAATGTTTTGTTTATAAAAATATTGAACATTTAATTAAATCACATTCCATTTCTTTATCATTACAGTTTATATCGATGGCACCGAATGGACTGGCGTTAAATTCTTCCAATTATCATCGCAATGGCAAACACATGTTAAAAATTTCCCAATTGCTCTAATTGGTTGTACACCAATGTCATGTTCGGAATTATCCTAGTCATTTTCTTAAGTAATATCATAGATTTATAAAAAATATATATAAAAACAAATAACCTACCTATAATAATAAAACATAAATATAACAATAAAACAAATAGAGAAAGCAAAAACCCCTACACTATATATTATAAATACACTATAGATAAAATAATAATAATTAATAAAACTAATAACCGTCTGAAAAAATTTTATTCAGTAAAACTATGTGAAAATAATAAAAGACGGTATAAAATATTACTCATTTTTAATGGCATAAAAAATAATAAGAAATTGATAGTGGTTTAATAAAATTTTTCAGTTTTTTTATATATGTATATTGGAATTGAACCTACAATATATTTTGTTTTTTGTATTATTATTTTTTAATTTTTTTATATATATATTTAAAAATACATATATTTTTAATTTACTGTTTATACATACATAAAAATAATAATAGAAGATAATTGTAAAAAAATGCATATACATATAAAAAAAATAATTATAAACTGTATTAATATTATAACAACAATAATATATTATAAAAAAGAAGAAATAATTATTATTATAAATAAAAAAATCATCCAGGCCTAAGCCTAAAAAACTGAGCAAGAACATTATATACAGGCATAGACTCAATAATAATAATAAAATTAATAAAATAAAAGAAAAAAATAATCAGAAATAAAACTTCATAAAAAATTTAAAGTTGAAACGAATTTGTTATTCTATATATTAATGTATCCAAAAACAAGAAATATATTAGTAGAAACATATTAACTCGCACATATTTCAGTGTTCTCAATGTAAATGTCGAAATTATGGTTTGTACCTTCATCTGAATATTTAAAATCATTTGGAGCCACTGTCTTTGGAAAATTATACCAACAATTCATTGTTTTATTTATAAACTGTTTATGTTGTGATTATCGTGTCTAAATATCAATTTTGTGACATTTTAACTGTTAAAATTTCTGTCAGCGAGTTTTTTTCTTTTCCTGTAATGTATTCTTTTATACTCTTGTAGCTTTACAAAATATCTTTAAGATCAAATATTTGGTTTCGAAGAGAAAATTTATTTGTTCGACTGGAGGTTCTTTGAGACGTAAAAACGAAATAAAATCATATTATGTACATGTTATTGCATTACCCATATCAATTGGGTATGTTCTGGAACTCACGGTGTGTTCTTTACACTTCACACATACACTTAAAGGAGTTACCTCCTGTTCTGCTTTTCACGTGAATTGCAATTTTCGAACTGCGACAATATAAACGTCAACATTATCGACGTGTGCTTGATACACTTCTACCGTTGAAGTGAATGCCAGAACATGCCCGAATGTTCCATACGTGAAATTAAATAAGACATTTTGACATGTATTTTTTTGAACATTAAAATGTTGGTCCCGGGTTCGCCTCCTTACGTTGTTCCCGCATACACTTTAGACTTATATGTCTTCTGAAAACGTTTTGAGTGCCGAAATATACACAACTCCGGCTGTCAACTTAATTCATTCCATAGCGAAGAAAGTTGTAACAATAGCATCGCAAATGAAAATGCTCCAAAAATTAGTTTCGTAATTTTAAAATATCCTCATAAAGGTCTCTTATAAAAATAACATCTTTTACAGAACTTCTACAGCTATACAACCTCTTGTGGTTATTCAATATACATGAGACCTTTCTCAGGACCCCATATGTATGGCACAAGTATTATAACATATATAAATAGGCCTAAGAGGTCTTCTGTCACGGAAAGCACTGTGAAAGGATGAAATCCTGTTTATATAACCAACCTTTGACATATGATGTCATGAATCGTTGGGGTATTCGCGTCGATCCTTAAGGAGAGCATTGCATTTAAAAAAAGGTCCCATAATCGTTTCGTAATTTGTATGTAATCTACACAACAGAGGAGAGCATTGCAATTAGAAAGGTCATGTATTCGTTTTGTAATTTTTTAATCAGCCTCATGCAGGTCTCTTATAAAAATAACATCTATTGCAGAACTTATACACTTGTACGATCTACTGTAGGTATTCTGCAAGACTTTTCACAGGACTTAAACAAATTAAAACCCATTACTAGGACTCTTCGAAATACAAGTATTTTTACATTCCAGACCGACGGAAGACCTGCTTTGTATTCTTCTATCGAGACATTCAAAGGGCGAAAAACGACAGTTCTTTAATAGATGGTGGCAGAACTTTAATAAATAAAAAAATTGTTTATAGGTTAGACGAATTGTCGCCCAAGCATGCTGATCTATGAGGTTATGAATCGTTTGGGTATTCAAGTAGATTTTACTGTTTACGTGACATTAAATTAAAAATTCATAGATTTTTAAATCACAAGATCTCTGTGACCAATTGTGATCACATTTGTCAGAGCAATCCAATCAGTGTCAGGTCATAAACAGCTTCAAACAGACACATGTTGAGGATAAAGACGTTACTCAAAAATAACTTTTGCGACAATTATGTATTTTGAGCCAGTGTCTAGCAAGATGGAAATGGGTCACATTAGTCAATATGAATTTCCGGTTAATTTTCGTGAATTTCAATGACCCATCAAGGTTGGTCGGCTTTATTTCTTGCGTTAACTGAACATTTTAAGCCTTTAGACCCAAGTCAAATTCCAAAAAACAACTAGAAAACTATGGCTTTTATTTGGGATATCTTGGGGTCTTTTGAGAATAACTAATATGTCTAATATGTAACCTATTACCAACTTGTAATAGGGTCGTAAAGTGTTCCACGACCAAAAAAATTATAGAGAAAAATGTGGGACCACCAATTTCTGTAATATGCCCCCAAAGTGTTTCACGACCAAAAAATTACTTATTAGAATATTCTACAGATTAATGCAGGGATGCGAAATGAAATTATTCAAATTGTACTGGCTTTCAATAAAAATTGTACTTTTTTCAGTCCGATTGTACTTTTTATATAATTTTTAATAAAATTATTATTGTCATTAAAAATTAATAAAAACACACATTAAGAATTCATTTTATATACACATAGATAAAATAAAAAATTTAAAAAAAACCTCCATAGGTATATTGACAGATTCTTGAATTGAAAATATAGGGAACATACCAAAAAGTGAACATATACCGATAATTCTACAACCGGTTTATGTAAACAATTGGGTACACCAAATACAAATTTCAGCAATTTATAATGAAAACCCCAATGCGTGGACTTATACTAATAACGCATGGAATATACAATCCTCAAACTACTGCAATTTAGATTACATAGTGTAGGAATTAGCGAATATTTGGGGTTATACTTATATGAGGGCTATGCCTAATTAATGATCGATATATATATATATATAGAACCGGACCCAAAACGCGGAACAAATCAGATAATTATTTTAATATATGAAGGGGGTTATATGGGGACTACCCCTAATAGGGGACGATTTTAATAATAATTGGGAGGGAGGTTTGTTACCATATGCGACTACAAAAAAAAAAAAAAACAAATTTCAGCGAATTCGGTTTAAAAACGCGCTTAAACCCCCCAAAATACCGTAAATTGGGCGGTACCGTTATATGTGGGCTACCAGAAAAAGTGGACCGATATTTATAATTTGTAGTGAGGACATTTGATACCCAAAAAGAACCCAATGTACCAAATTTCAGCGAATTCGGTTGAAAAAAACGCACTCAGCAACCCCAAAATAGGGGTTGCCTTTATATGGGGGCTACCCGAAAAAGTGGACCGATATTTATAATTTTTAGTGGCGACATTTGGTACCCAAAATAGCGGTTGAATAGCGCGCTCAAGAATCCCAAAATATCGAAAACTGGGCTGTACCCTTTTATATGGGGGCTATGCCTAAACGTGGACCGATATAGCCCATCTTCGAATTTGACCTACCTGCCGACTCTATGCTAAATTTAGACGATCTATCTCAATTCCTTCAGAAGATAGCGTGATTACAACAGACGGACAGACATGGCTAGATCGTTTTAGAATTTTACCCTGATCAATACTTATTGAAAATTTCGATGAGTTACAAATAGTTGTTTCAACAACTTCTTGACGTGAAAGCCATCGAGCTGTTGAGTATTTAAAAACAACATGAATATCTGTACCGAATTATTCCTGAAACATTGACAAATCATAGAAAAGTTAAAGAAATAATAATTAATTAATATTAATATCTTCACTGAATTTATCAATCTGATCGGCAATACAGAATTTTGAAGCGGCATAGGTCACTACGTTTAAACTATGGCAAATTCATCCATTCGTAGCGACAGCGGGGGATGGCGATTCATTCCATATTGTATGTTTAAGCACTTATAATCCTTTTAAGTGAGAATAATTTGATACAATTTAGAAATAGTGCTATATATGTCATTGGGGTGCTATTGTATTTTTGACTTCCAAATAGTGCTAAAATTAGTACAATTGTACCAACTTTTGCATCCCTGGATTAATGATCTCTATGGATATTCAATAGGCATTGTCTGGAAAGCAGGCAATTCAGAGAACTATTGAGGTTCTTTATTTTTCTATTGAGGTTCTTTATCATATATGATCTGTGGATCTTCTATAGATAGGGGCAGTGATGAGATAACATTCAACTGCTCAAATCATTTATACTTTTCTGTAGATCCAGTATAAATTATATTCTGAACAACTTTTGGAGGTATTAAAAAATACGTTTTTCGCGATATGATGCCATTTGTGTGTCATTTTGTGTGAATTTGACATAATATGGACGTTTTAAATGCGATTAGATTATTGTCCTGAAGTACATTCAGAAATGACATTTCTGAATGGACCTTCTACATACCTTCAAGATCTATAATAGTGTTTTTTTATTTTTTTATTACAATTACACCATTTTTATTTTTTATTTTAAAATCCTGAAGTACATTCAGAAATGACATTTCTGAATGGACCTTCTGCATACCTTCAAGTGTTTTTTTTAGTGTTTTTTTTTTTAATTTTTTTTATTACAACTACACCATTTCTATTTTTTATTTTAAAATCCTAAATATTGAATTTTAAATCAAATGCC